GTTGATATATTGTGCACCCCAATAAACTTATCTGGAGGTCAGAGAACAGAACAGCCATAATATTAAACATAGAGGTTAGGCAGTGGTAGCACACGCCTTTAATCCTAGCATTCCAGAGGCAGAAATCCCTCTGGATCTCTGTGAGTTCAAAGCCACACTGGAAACAGCCAGGCATGGTGAATCACGCCTTTAATCCCAGGAAGTGATGGTAGGAAGCAGAAAGGTATATAAGGCATGAAGACCAGGAACTAGAGCTGGTTAAGCTTTTAGGCTTTTAGCAGCAGTTCAACTGAGATCCATTTGGATGAGGACTCAGAGGCTTCCAGTCTGAGGAAACAGGATCAGCTGAGGAATTTGTGAGGTGAGGAAGCTGTGGCTTGTTCTGCTTCTCTGATCTTCCAGCATTCATCCCAATATCTGGCTCCGGGTTTGATTTTATTAATAAGACCTTTTAAGATTCGTGCTACACCTCTTTATGATCCTTGTGTCTCAATAGGATTTTAGCTTCTGTGGGTTTCCTCATCATATGCATAATTCTACTTAGCAGGGATTGCTTGAATGCTGTGCTTTCTTATCTTGCCTCCCTGCCAAAATGAATTCCTTAAGAAAAAGGGGGAGGGCTCTGTATACACATCTCGATTTGTACACTTTCAGGACTAACATAAGAATCAAACCCTCCAGTAAAAGGTAAAATTGAATCCATGCTCAGAGACTCAGCACACACAATGGAACATTGAAACTGAACATCAAGGTGGAGAATCCTAAGTAAAGGAAACTCTAGGAGCTCTGGAATCACACAGAGTGTCCTTCCACATACCCAAGAACTTCCTCGACCTGCATTTACTTGGCAGGTTCTGACTTCCTGCATCTACAGAAAATATCCCCTCCTGTACTTCATTTCCCCTGTACAGTTCCCTGCCTCCTCTTCTTTTCTTACTTCCCTGCTCCCTATGAGCCAGCCAACTTCCCTCTGACCTTTTGAAGTAATCCTGTTTGGGTGTGAAAGAGCAAGATCTGAGTAACTTGCTCCCTGACTCCCTCTCTCACAGCACTAATCCAACTAGGTTACAGTGCCTTGTGGACTCACCTGCTTCCCCAACTCAGGAGTGAGTCTCTTTCAGAGCATGAGCATGCTCTGTTCTCTAGGGCACTTGCATTCCCAGAGTGAAGGATGCCACAGAGGAGATACTCAACATGTGGACTTAGATACCTCTCTTGTGGCAGATGAGAAAAAGTCTAAATGATGTCAGCTCCCAAGTGAAGCTCCTGGGAAGCTGGGGGTTATATCTAGTGCCCAAGTTCAATCAATAAATATACTCTGCTTTCTTAACTTGAAAAAACTGTGCTAGAGTCTGTAATGCTTGCTGATGTCATCCAATAAAGAGGAATTATTACATGCATAGAAAATACACAATCCTTAAAGTGATACTCTTCATAACATACAAAGAGCAATTCTACCAGTCCCAGCAAAGTCACATTACACCTGATCCTAAAATTCTATTATGTCCTCCAAAGTACAAATGGAAATGAATTTCTGTTACCTGTTGAGAAGGGCACAAAGTAGTCACTCTTCTTGAAGTTTCCACTCT